TTGTCAAATAAAAGAAAAATGATTAACATTTTTTATGATTTAGAGATTTTGACATTTTTTTGCAGGGGGCGTCTAGGGGAGGGGGGTTGGGGGAGCCTGGAGTAATCTAGGCTGAAACTGAATCCATTGAGCTTCGAACCCGAGACCACCCGTAAGGGAGAGTGAGTAGGCGACCAGCTGGGCTGAACCGCTTCCTCGATTTTGACATATTTACTTGCATATTCAATCAGAATACTAGAAAAAGTGGTTTTCAAATTGTTAAATTTATTGATAAAAAGGGTTCTGTGCACGATTCATTAAAACAAAAGGGGGTTTGACGCATTTTTTAAATCACATGAGACTAATGCGCTGGATTTCCGTATCACACAGGGGTTTGGTGCATTTTTTAACCTTCTTTGCTAGTAATAGAGAACTCGGAAGAAATAATCAAACAACATATATGGCTTCACCATACTCTTTCCCCAAATAAACAATTAAACAATCAGTATCTCATTTAAATGTTCTCATTACATTTTAGAAAATAATTTATTCTCTTTAGTTTCACTTTTACATAAATTTCTCTTTTCTGTTCATTACGTGAATCCCAACTCGAGAGTCGAGAATACCATTCATGGCATTGTCATGGCACAGTATCCACTCATACCATCATTCGAGATTGAGAATAAATAAATAAATGTACAATACTGTATTATATTAACACTCGTAACTAATTTGCAATCAGAGAAATTTGTTGCTTTCTTACGAATACCGTCAAGTCAACATGTACGAAATATACTGCAAATTTGCAAATTAAAGGAAAGATGCATTATTATAGGCATAATAATGGTCATGCATAATTACACAAGGTGTTACTTCGTACTCCGTATTAAATAATAAGAGCCATATTAGTAAACATGGTTGAATAGAATGAAATACAAAAATTCTCTTGTAAAGACATTTGGAGTGCCTATACCGTACGACCGGTATACGGTGAGCACCGTATACCGGTACGTATTTATATTTTTTTTTCCCTTTTGTTTTTAAAAAATAGTAATAACTTTTTTATTTTTGATCCGATTTTTATAAAATTCATATCAACATTTTTTATTTTTCATGATCTTTCAAATGAGACCAATATTGCCTATGTAATTTTAACATATTAACATTTGCGTGTAAAATATGTAACTTTACGTGTTTAAATATGTAACTCACGTCCAGTCAGGCCAAATGCAACTCGTGTGTATAAATATGTATCTCTACGTGTAACAATATGTAACTTTACGTAAAAAAATATGTAACTTGCGTTCAGACAGGTCAAATGCAACTCGTGTGTATAAATATGTAACTCGCGTGTATAAATATGTAACTTTACGTGTAAAAATATGTAACTTTACGTGTAAATATATGTAAGTCGCGTTCATGCATGTCAAATGCAACTCGTGTTTATATATATGTAACTCGCTTTTAAAAAGATGTAACTTGCTTATAAAAAGATGTAACTTGCTTATAAAAAGATGTAACTTGCTTATAAAAAGATGTAACTTGCTTATAAAAAGATGTAACTCGCTCATAAAAAGATGTAACTCAATGTATTATCAAATGTAACTGAGGCCACTGATCCACTCCCAAACAGATTCGATCTTCTATTTCACAAACCTATCATCTCCCAAACAGATTCGATTTTCCTTATAATCCAATACTCATTAATATAATAGTTCAATAATTTCTTAAAATTACATCAGCAATATTAGTCTCATTTGAAAGATCATGAAAAATAAAAAAATGTTGATATAAATTTTATAAAAATCGGATCATAAATAAAAAAGTTATCATCATTTTTTAAAAACAAAAGCAAAAAAAAAGGGGGGGGAGGGTGGCAAGCTGCGTCGTTTTGCAACCGGGCGCACCATCCTCATGGTGCGCCGGTTGCATGGTATAATTTGCGAGACATTTGTGCACACGTCATCTTAGACGCGTATGTGAGCAGCATTTTTGACTATTAATAGCATGTTCACCAACAAAACACACAAAATAGCGGGCGTATGTGTAAAACGATATGCATAAAAAGTGTATACAAATAGTTTTTTCAATGTATAGTAATAACAATTTTTTGGTCACTAAGAAGTAAGAACGCTTTTATATGTTTGGTTGTTGTAACTTACGGCTGAGTTCAGATTTCAGAACTAAAACATTATTGAGGATGTTTTTACTTGGACCGTAATTCGTCCCAGACCAGACTAGACCAGACCAGACTTGGATAGTTATAAAAATACAAAGAAACCAGATTAGACCAGACCAGTTCAGACTAGAAATACAAAGCATGGAAGCTGAGAGCCCGAGCATATTTGGAAAGCATGGAATCACTCCTATCAAATCGACCATTAAATTTGAGAATCCTTACTCTTATTTTACTGTTATTTTTATAACATTCAACCCACAATAAAGTAAAAACATCCTGAGTCATCACACTTGTAAGCTGAGAGCCCGAGCATATTTGGAAAGCATGGAATCACTCCTATCAAATCGACCATTAAATTTGGGAATCCTTACTCTTATTTTATTGTTATTTTTATAACATTCAACCCACAATAAAGTAAATTTCATTTTTAATGGAATCTTGTTAAAAAGATTCATTCTCTAAAACCTTCTAAAAGGCAATGCGACGATTAAATTTGGGCAGAGGGTAGGTAGGGACTATATTAAGTGATAAAACTAGGGTTTAATGCACCAAACACCTATGTGATATGAAAATTCGGCGCATTAACTCTTTGTGATTTAAAAAATGCGTCAAATCCCCTAATGTTTTAATTAATCTTGCACAAAACTCCTATTATGAATAAATTTAACAATTTTGAAACCCGTTTTCCTAATATTGTGGTTGAATATGCAAGTAAATATGTCAAAATCTCTAAATCATACAAAAATGTTAATCATTTTTTTATTTGACAATTGAATTTATTCATAAAAGGGATTCTGTGCATAATTAATTAAAACACAAGGAGATTTGGTACATTAAACCCAATAAAACTACTTGAGTGTATTCAAACATATTTATACATGCAAGACCGGGACCGGCGGCCCAAGACCGGTGTTGTGCTATTACAAATAAGAGATTGATAATAGAATTCTTCACATCATTTAGGGGTGGACTCGGGCCGGGCCAACCGGCCCGGAACCGGACCGGCCCGCTACTGTGCGGGCCCGACCCGGACCGGTGAACCAGTTCCGGGTCCGGTTCGGGCCAACCGGCCCGGTGGGATTGCGGTTCGGGTTCGGGGCCTTCAAAAGGTGAACCGGCCCGGCCGATTCGGGCACGGGCCGAGCCATTTTTTTTTGGTTTTTGATTTTTTTTTAAGTTTTTGGATTGGGTTGGACATTTTGGGCCATTTGAGGTGGTTAGGGTTGGTTTGAGGGTTGGGGGTTAACTAGGAAAAGCCAAAAAAAAAAAAAAATAGAACCCAGGCCCGGCCCGGACCCGGGGGTTACCCGGGCCGGTTCCGGGCCTCCCCTTCTTGAACCGAGGCCCGGCCGGGCCCGAACCGGAACCGGTCCACCCCTAAAGTCATCATTTGGACGGTGCTCATGGCTTAGTCGTTGACTCCAAAATTCATTGAATTCCAAAATTAGTACCCTGATAAAAACTAATTAAATAAATAGGACCACCTAACATAATATAATTTTACTAAAAATAGCATTATCCATGATGAAATATGTATATTGTGGTGGCCTTGAGGGAAAAAATCAAACATGAACATTTGAAGAGATTTGTCATGCTTATTGTCCATTTACCACATCACAATCAAAGAGAATCGCAGTTAATGAGAAAGCAAAGACAATAATTTGACTGCTACAAATACATATTAGGCTTCTTTTTTAACTTATAGATTAGTCACAATTAAACTTGGACTCGGGCCGGGTGGCCCGACCCGGAACCGATACTGTTCCAGCCCGGCCTGATCCGTTGACCCGGTCAGTGACCGATCCAGGTAGGCCTGACCCGATGTGTTTCCGGTCCAGGCTCAGGTCACCCAAAACAAGGCCGGGCCCGTCCGGGCCAAATTGATTTTTTTTTTGATTTTTTTCATCTGTTTGGGCTGCACCCGGGTTGGGCTTGATGTTTATGAGGGGTTTGGGGGGTTTGGGGGGTGGGGTGAGGGGGGGGTCAGGGATGGGTAGGTAAGCCAAAATAAAATTAACCAAACCCGAGGCCCGGCCCGGCCCGGACCCGGTGGCTACCCGAGTCCAAGTCTAGTCACAATTGTGTGATATTTATCTCATGAGAACCGTTCATAACTAATAATGAGGTGAGGTTTTATTCACCAAATTATTTTTTGTCCTTAATTAGAACCAATCCATTAAGAACGTATGTAGCTTGGGTTTGTCTTACAAATTCAAGTCATGAGAAAGTTCATGAAGCAATGACAAACATCCCACAAACACTACCATGGGTAAAAACTTAAAAAAGAACTTGTGTTGTGTTATATTATTCAAGGCTACAATGGATGTAACCCATGTAAGTCATGTAACTATGTTGTGAATAGCGCTTCTTGCTCAGTGAAATTTTGGATCACGGGCATAAAAGTAGGGAAGTCAATACCATAGAGTAGTAAAGTACCTTGTAATCTTGTATACCAACCTATACTTTCATCTTCTGCCATCGTTTTATTCATGAACTTAATAGTGGAGCAGCAAGGTTATTAACTCGAAGCAGTATCTCTGTTTTATAGAGATGGCATTTAGATGCTAAAAAGTATCCTTTTAAGATTTGATCTTCAACTTAAACATAGCAGGAGCATATAAGAAGGGAGTATCGCTACTCGACCCGTTACATGTAAGGGAACAGCAGGCACAAATTAAGCAAACTTCTTAATGGAACAACATTATTATTACTAGAGAAATTATCAAAAACCAAAAAATTGTAAGGTCGCAAACAGGTTAAAAAGAAAATAAATAGAGAAGCAAGGGAGCGTAAAAGAATCTAAAATCAAATTTAGATCATAAAACTTAATTGAGCAGGAATGAAATGCCGTAAGAACAAATGATCAAGGGATATGGTTTGAGAAGACTCTCACTTTGTGGGCTTTTGCAAGAAATGCACCATTGGCAAGAATCCCATTACACACTGATTACCAAATTACTGTTAAATCTTTGCATAAATGGATGTATGAGTAAGTTTATAGGGCAAGGATATACCGGTAATTTTATAAAGATGGTGTACACCATGATGACCATGTAGCATTAGTCATTTATTTCCTCATATCTCTCTCCCCCATGGGGATCACCAACCATAACTTCCATCTATAGAGAATAGTATAATGGAAATGCTTTGTACACTCGTGATTATGCATCTTCCGGAGGTGGGAAGAAACACAGTGTGATTCAAAAAGCAGTGTTCCAGAGGACTTTCTCTCCCTCACCACACCGTCGGTGGACTTCCTTTATTCTATCAGCTGACCTGCATACCCCGCTGCAGGTCCAATCAAATGAGACAACAGAGATGTTGCCTGCATGAGCCGTCCATTGACAATCTGCACCAAAATGGTGTGGTGAAAGTGAAATTATGAAAGATAATTCATAAATACATAAAGTTGTGACATACGAAGTTGTATATTAAGACCTTACTTTCCATTCCAAATGATCAAACTGACAACAGGATTAGTCCAAGATCATATATATTTATTGGTTTGTGTTTTTCGCATGTTTCTGATGTGTGATGACATAAGTCCATGACATAGAGAAGTTTTACCAGGTAGAGTTCCACAGCATAATCTTCTACCATCAATGTGGTGCACATCGAGCCCAATAAACCAAGACCCCAATGAAACATCTTCATTAGCATATTTGTGGAGGACACGTCTATCCAACATTTAAAAAAGAATCATTGTCCTGCTTTGCACAAATAAAAGGCAGGCAAAAACCTATGCTTGTTTTTTTTTTGTTGCAATTCTTTCAGACGAAGAGTAAATTAAAGATTCTGAAATTCATTGAGACCGATATGATACAGAACTGTAGAACACATAAGAAGATATGAAGTAAAATGCTCTTAATGCAACGTCAAGTACAACTCACTAAGCCTTGGATGGCCAAGTTGCTTGAGCCGACATGATTATTCCTACTATAACTCCAAAGAGCCCCAATGCACTACCGAATATCTCAATCACCAGAATCTTAACGAAAAGTGTAGAGTTTTGTGCATCAGATAAAGCACCACTGCTTCCAATCACTCCAACGCATATCCCACACACAAGATTGGCAAATCCAACAATTATCCCTGACACAAAAATTGCATAGCCAGCTGCAATGGACTCTGGTGCATGGATCTGGGAGGCAGGGACACTCTCAAGCTTTGTTTGGAGTATGATAGCCACAATGACACCATATATAGCAACTGCCTCACAAAAAATTACACTGATGAGATTTTCGGAGGTAATGCGAGGAGCTTTGATGGCAGCCCCAATCAAGCTACTTCCGGTTATATAGATCCCCCAAGCAGCTCCTAATACTGAAACGCCTATGGAGATGGCAATACCGATAGCTGAAAAGGTGTAGGGAGAGATCTGCGTCAACGCTCGCGACCAGGAGCTATGATCCCCAGCCATCGTGGATCGGAAGTTTACGAAGTATGTACAGTCGGCTTTGCAGAATTGAAAGGCTTGCAGCGCTTGGGCAAAAACCTATGCTTGTTTATATCATTATAATGATAAGTAAATAAAAAGAGCTTAACTGGTTAAGCGATATATGAGTAGCTAAGTCCTTTGAGATGGCATATAATAATTGTCCAATGGCATGTCAGAAATATCTATTTCCATTTTCCCCAAATGTCCAATACTCAGGTTCATGGTACTTCACTCCCCCGTTCCATGAAAATTTAGTGAGATCTTATTCAAGCTAATTGTATTTCTACTTGTCCAAAGGTATAGTCGTTAGACTGATGACATAAGGGAAGTACTGCCACGCTACATCTCGGCCATACCTTTGCAGGACATTCCTATAAACCAAACAATGGGTTAAAAAAGGGTGGGTCTAACTCAATTTTTCAAAAATATGTAAATGGCAGTTCGCTTACTTTTGAGAAAGAACAGGACCGGATTTCATACAGCCAATATACACTTGTGGTTTCTTCTTATGCCTGGCTAGTATTTTCCATAATGTTTCTGTAACCATTGAATTCACCCATAACGGTGATCATATTTTTACTAAGGAAAGAAAAAGGTTGCACAATTAATCTAAAGACAATTAAATACTTTTATTTACATGGACATCATTATCAACTTTGATGTAGTAGTGGAAAAATAAGTTTTTGTCTTTGCAGACAACTCAAGATGGTTGTCTAAGGGGGGAGATATGATAGGATCCTAGTCTGAAAGAGAATAATAATAAGAATGTTAGAATAATACGGAGTATTAAATAATTGGGATAGTGTATTAGAGTGTCCTGGACCAGGTACTAGTTAGCTTTGGGCTGGCCCATAAGTAAAAGTATATATAGAAGGAAGAGAGAAATAAGAAGGCAGGCGGACTTTGGACTGGAAATAGACTTCAGAGAGGAGACTGCTCCAAGTGTCTCAAAACTGTATGTTCCTTTCTTTTCATCGAACGTTCTCTAATATACGTCAAAAATGGCCAATTAAATTTGAGGGTTCTATCAAAATGCCATGCATTTTATCTTATTTCTCTATGATATAAACTTGTTAGCTGTTGCAAATAAAAATAAAATGTGGAGGTTGAGTTGACAACGGCCATTGAAGTTGTTGCTTAAAATGTGGTTTGTGAGAGAAATAAATGTATGATTCATCTTATCTGCTCATACCATCCCCATTCTTAAATAAATTCATCCAACCATGAGATCTTGTGTAGTACCCAGAAAAACATAAAAGCTCTTCATACCTTATCTGAAATAAGTACTTCACAAAATCTAGGTCATGTTTTGCAGGAGAAATGAGCTGAGAAAAAAAAAACAAAAACATTTAACGCAGAAGGAGATTACCTGTGCGAGATTGTATGATCAATCAGCTAATCTGGTGGCTATGCACGACATTAGGCCACTGCAGGGTTGAAAGAGATTGTATTATATCTTTTCTTGATATAAACATATATAGAAGATAAAGCATACTATAAGATCGTCTAACTTGACCAAATACACAGCATAGAAAAAGGGATTGATGGAAGAACCAATAACCAAGATGCTGGGAAGGTAATTCTGCATCCCAAAGATCTCATTGCTCGTAATTTGTAAAAGCAGAGCTGATGACACTAATCTGGCCAAAGATCCCTTCACTGTTTCACATATGTTTCAAAACAAACCTGAGTTAATTTAGAGTGTTAAATGTCCCAAGTTAACTTACAGAAAAAATAGTTTTTTTTCTTTCCAATCTGCTAATGATATGCCTACTGGAGCAGTGGCGGACCCACTAAGGGTCCCACGGGGTCCCGGGACCCCATGGACCTCCAAAAAAATACCTATATATATTTGTATATATTTTATATAAAATTAAGTAATCAGTGTATTTATACAATCGAAACTGGTTTAGAACACAAATATAGAGCTAGAGCAATAGTTGGAGGTTCAATCTTATAGTTTTACACGTGTTTTTTCTAATTTACTTGTTCATTCTAATTTCTAGTCACCCCTCCTTGTACTCTTTTGTTTTAGTCACCCGTGAGTGTATTATTGTTGGTCAGCCTATTATTTATGAAGCTCTCTTCTTCCTTGTTTTTCCTCTGAGAAACAAGCAAGCAAGGAAATTCATTTTCAACAAAAATGACATTTCTACTTAGCAACACATTGAAGCAAGTTTCACTCCTACACCAAAGCCTATAACTTTTCATGCATTCATGATATCCTAAGAAAACATATTCCTTAGTCCTAGGTTCAGATTTATCATTCCCACCTATTGTTATCCACCTCTATTGCCCAACTTGTAATCTAATTTTCTCAATCTATGCCTAATTTTTTTCATAAGAAATAATACTACTATAAACCAGTATGTATCCTCAAATTTCAGCTTATCTTTTTTATAAACTAATTTCGACATGAAACACGTAATTTTTGAATTCACGCACTGAATTTGTAATACTTAAAATAAGCAAGTTAAAAACATTTTTTGGCGAGATGACTGAAGTTACCGTAGACCATCATCTTAGCCACTTTTTCATATGACTTTTTTCATATCTTATAACATATAATTTAAATATCATTCTTTCCTAATATAGCAGATTCAGTCGTTTGAGCCATAATCGCATAATTTGGCTTGATGTGGTTTGATCCAAGACTAAAATCAATCCAATAACAAAGTCCTTAAAGTTACACAAATAAATTGGTAATTGTATTAAATTAAAATAGAAAAAAGCTAATGAATATATTTTAAATAAAAATACAAATAAAATAATGCGAAGTAATTGGATCGAAATTTTCAAATGTGGGCTTTTTTGAATTTGATTTCTCATATGCATGCCCATTTTTTTAGTTGATAGAAGACATTAACTTTATAAAATTTTAGTGCCAGTTTAGTGACTCTGTTTTTCGGCTTATCAGACTTATCAACAGACTTTTTAACCAAACATGTAACTTTTGATTTTGCGCGCTGAATTGTGTAATAATAAGTAGGCCTGGGACCGGTTCGGTTCTTACTCAAAAATAGTGGAACCGTTATTTAAATTTTAACAAATCAAATCGATTCGGTTCCTATATAAAAAATCAAGAACCGATATGGAACCGAACCAATACTAAACGGTTCGGTTTTTGCTTTTATCGGATCCTAGAATATTTTTTTTCGTGTAAGAATTAACACATAGTTTAGCTTCTACCACATGAAAACGTCAAAAAGTCAAAACAATTCATAAACATTTATTTAGAGTTCTAATCACTCCAAACATCAAAGCTCGGACTTAAGTGAACACTTAATAGAATAAAAAGAAGATTTTAATTTTCATTTAATACATAAAATATAAAAATTGTTCGTTATGTCGTTGAAATGAAGGTTGCTCATCATTATAGTGGCAAGGATATGACGTACACTTTATGCCTCTCAAAATCTAGAAATACATTGAGTTTGCATGTATATCCTATTGATGGAACAAAACTTGATTTGTAAAAATGAGCTTATTGTATTCAACCTCATGTGCAAATATTTTTTATTTTTGTTTTTATAGATTAAACTAAATTAAAATTATTGGCTAAATATCATTTATTTATTATTGTTGTTGTTGTGTTTATTTTTGTTATATTAGTATTACTACTAATACTACTACTATTATTTTATTTTTATATTTTTAATATCGGTTCCTTAACGGTTCCGTGCATATGTTTTTTATAGGAACCAGGAACCGAACCGTCAACAACAACTAGGAACCGAACCGTTAACAACTAATATCTCATTTGTAGGAACCGAACCGGGTCGTAACGGTTCGGTTCCAACCGATTTAACGGTTCCCGGTTCCAAAATCCCACCCCTATTAATAAGAAAAATAAGGTTGAAGTTACTTTTCAGGCTGTAATGACTGAAGTTGTTGTAGATGACCATTTTATCTATTTTTCATATCATTTCTTCTTTATTTTATTAATATAATATATTTTAAATTATTTTTTTCATAATAAGCAGAAACAGCCAATACAGTCACTTCAGTCAGAACTTCATAAATTTAAGTAGAATCAACCGATTCAGCCGATTTCAGTGTTACCAAACGAGCTCTAGTTGATAGTGGACATTTCTTTAAAATTTTGGAATATCTTTAAAATTGTTGTATACGTTAACTATGAAATGTTATGCTATTTTAATATTTTACTTCTTATTTTTATTAATTTTTTATTAATTCGAGTTACATTACAGTAGGGACCCCGTGATTCTGAGTTTCTGGGTCCGCCACTGTACTGGAGTACTGATTACTACAGCGCTTTGGCATTTTTGCAGAACGCCATATTTTGTTCTCTACTTTTTTCTCTGTTTTTTGGGTATAAATATGTATCGTTTTACTATCAGGGGTTAGACAACATGTATGTCATTGATCTGCCTCCCAAATCACATGAAAAAATCATGAAAACAAAAATTCTAGATTGTCTCTTATACTGTTTTTTTAGCAGTATAAGATCATAAGTTTGCCTGTTCAGGAAATTTGAGTTCTAGATTGTATTGTTTTTTCGTCAGGTATTTCGTCTTCTTGGATAAATTTTAGATTTTGGTATTTTTTTTAAAAATGCCCTATTTGATGTGAAGTTCATTTGTTGATCTATATACTTGAATAGAAATTGTTGATCTGCATCTGTTTTTCATAATTTTTGTTTTTACCCATAACGGTGAGCTGTCTGCAAAGACAAAGACTTATTTATCCACTATTACATCAAAGTTGATAATGATGTCCATGTAAATAAAAGTATTTAATTGTCTTTAGATTAATTGTGCAACCTTTTTCTTTCCTTAGTAAAAATATGATCACAGTTATGTGTGAAAACAAAAATTATGAAAAACAGATGCAGATCAACAATTTCTATTCAAGTATATAGATCAACAAATGAACTTCACATCAAATAGGGCATTTTTAAAAAAAAAATACTAAAATCTAAAATTTATCCAAGAAGATGAAATACCTGACCAAAAAACAATACAATCTAGAACTCAAATTTCCT